ATTGTACTGACATACAATGGAACTCTGTGCAGCTATTAAAAATAATATCTTCTGCTTGAGATGTAGAAATCTAGAAAGAGAACTATCCCCACACTTGCAAGATCAGAAAATCTGGAAAATATGCAAATTCACAACTTTTTGTGGACCCATGAGAGAGCTGAGTTCACCAGGCACCCATATAGCCTGAAGACCAAGGAAAGACAGGCACCTACAAAGAGAGATGGAACTCCAAGCACTTGCCTACCTGGAGCAGGCACTGCTATGCGCTGGCAAAGAGAGTTCTGCTAAATTTGTGGCCCAGTGTAGGCTTGCAAGAGAAAATAAAAACCAAGGGGCCATAGATATAATGAATATTTGCATCCACTTACAGGCTTTTCTCCTCCGATGGTCTCACTGGGCACTCACAAAAAAGATTAGCAAAAGTCCTGAGAAAGCATCCTTGAGGGCATAGCCTGGGGAAGGGGAATATCAGTTGCTGCAGGAAAGACATGAGACAAGGCTTGGATCCTATTGCCCCATATTTCCAACAGAACAAAAGTAGAACCAGCTGTCCAAGAACAGGCAATAAACACATCCTTACAGGGCTGGTAAATCCAACTGCAGCTGGGGAAAAATAATGGAATAAAAACCAAACCTCTGATCCTGGGAGAAAGGTGGGAATATGTGCTGTGCCCAAAACTGCTGGGGGAGGGTAGAAACACTTTGAAGGTCACACCCCCTCAAGACCCAGGGACAGAGTGCCTGCCTGCCTGAGACTTAATCAGAACAGAGCACCTCATGGCTCAGTCCCTAGCCCCAGGCTAACAAGTACCGACTATCAAGTAACAGTGGAGTCTGCTGGGAGAGCTACAAGGGCATGGAGAGACTGACACATACCAGGGAAGACCTAAAGCTGAGAGTGGAGCACACATTGAGAAAAACATTTGGTCAAACAATGCCATACCTTAAACACAGGTAACACTTGAGGAATCTGAAGTGCATGGTGTACTTAGGCTAACTGTAGCAACAACAAACTCAAGGGTCTACACAAAGGAGTGAAGACTGCAGGAAATGGTAATCACATAAGTAAGTACTGAAGCTTTTTCCCCTCATTATTTATGTCTCCTTAAAAGAAAATTGACTATTTAAATATAAAAAGAATAAGAATATGTTGGGCTTCCCTGGTGGCGCGGTGGTTGGGAGTCTGCCTGCCGATGCAGCGGACACGGGTTCGTGCCCCGGTCCAGGAAGATCCCCAGAGTGGCTAGGCCCGTGAGCCATGGCCGCTGAGCCTGCGCGTCCGGAGCCTGTGCTCCGCAACGGGAGAGGCCACAACAGTGAGAGGCCTGCGTACAGCAAAAAAAAATAAAATAAAGCGGTTAATCCGTCAAGAGGACATACCAATCCTAAATATTTACACATCAATAACAGAGCTTTGGAATACACGAAGCAAAAACAGAACTGCAAAGAGGAATAAACAAATCCACAATTTAATCTGATATTTCAACTCCTCTCTTGTAAGGATTGATAAAACAATAAAGAAAAAATCAGTAAGAATATAGAATACTTGAACAACACTGTCAACCAATTTAACCTAATAACATTTATAGAACACTGAATCCAACAACAAAAGAATACACACATTCTTCTTAAGTTCACATGGAACATTTAACAAGACAGACCATTGTTATGGGCTGAATTGTGTTCCCCCCTGCTGTTTAGTCCCATCCTGTTGATGGTGATGCTCTTGCCTAGGAACTAGGAACACCTGAGGCACTCACCAAGCTTGTGGGGCCAGTGTTGTGGCTGGACTAACCCGTGTGGTTCTTATAATGATTGCAGTACACACTTCAGCCAGAAACCATCAGGGGACTTTGAGGAGCAAGATTTACTACTCATAGGTCCTGGAGAGTACACAGCACACTCAAGGGCCATGAAGCAAGGTCACAGGTTGAGAGACAGAGGAGCACAGACCTGGGGCTCTGCCTTTGTTAGGGCCCAAGGGTGGGGTGTTTAGGGTTTCACAGGTTCACTCTTTATTGGCTAATTTAAAGCATAAGAGAGAGAATTAGGGAATGGAAAGGGAGAAGCTAAAAGAATGTTGTAGAACAAAGTTGGAGGGCTAATAATACCTGATTTCAAGGTTTATTGTAAAGTTACAGCAATCAAGGCAATTTGATCTTGACATAAAGGTAGAAAATTATATCAGTGGAACAGGATAGACCCATATACGTGTGGACAACTGATATTCAACAAAGGTACAAAAGCAATAGAGTGAAGAAAGGATAATTTTTTCAGCAATGAGCTCATCCACATCTCAAATCATATGGAATTCTCAATAAGAGATTTCCCATCCGAAACCATCAAGGCCAGAAGGCAGTGAGAGGACATATTAAAGTGCTGAAAGGAAAAAGACTGTCAATTAAGAATTCTATATCCACAAAACTGTCCTTCAAAACTGAAGGAGAAATTAAGACATTCCAGATAAACAACAACTGAGATAATTTGTCACTAACATACCTTCCCTACAAGAAATGCTAAAAGGAGTCCTTCAGAAATGAAAGGTTACTAGACAGTAACTCAAATTCACATGAAGAAATAAAGAGCACCAATAAATGTAACTACATAGGTAAATATAGAAGACATTATAAATATATTTTTTTGTTTGTCATAGCTCTGGCTACTGTAACAAATTACCATAGACTGAATGACTTAAACAACAGAATTATTTCTCACAAGTTTGGAGACTGGGAAGTCTGAGATCAGGGTGCCAGCATGGTGGCATTCTGGTGAGGGCCAACTTCCTGGCTTGTAGACAGCTGCTTTCTCACTATATCCTTACGTGGTGGAGAGCAGAGAGAGAACTAGCTCCCTTCCTCTTCCTATAAGGACACTAATCCCATCATGAGGGCTCCACCCTCATAATCTAATTACCTCCCAAAGTCCCCACCTTCCAATACCACCACATTAGAGCTTCTGTATATGAATTTTGAGGGAACACAAACATTTCCTCTATAGCGTTGTTTGTAACTCCTTTTTCTCTTATCTGATATAAAAGACAACTTCATAAAGCAATCATTATAAACCCATGATGGTGGGTATACAATGAATAAAGATGTAATTTATATGGCAATAATAGCAAAAAGGAAGGGGAGACAATGGAAATAGATAGAAGCAAAGTTTTTATGTACTATTGAAGTTAAGATAGTATTAATCCAAACTAGATTGCTATAGGCTGAGATGTACAGTAATCTTCAGGGCAACCACTAAGAAAATAACTCCCCAGGCCCCTCCAGTCAGGCTTATCACCACTCAAGAGATTTTGCTCCGGTAGCCAGCAGAAAGGGCACAGGCTTCAGGGCCAGACAAGGCATGATGCAAATTTTAGCCTGTTATGTGATGCTGGGTGGTTCATTTTCCACATCAGTAAAGTGGGGATTAAAAAAATCTACCCTGTAGAGGTACCATATGCATTACACAGTGTCAGGCACATAATAGGGAATCCTTATATGGAAACCATTATTACTGCTATTATTATTATTATTTTTGCTATTCTCCAACTACCCAGATCCTCTATGACCTTCAGTCTCTCCAAGGTTCAAGGCCTACAAAGTCATCTCTGACTATTCCTTTCCTCATCTAGTGTGTTTCTAAGTAGCAAACAATTGATCAGTCGCTCTCTAGCTATTTATATCAATAAATGTTTCTCAACTAGGCAGTAGGCAACTTGAAAGCATATATTATATTCTAGTCCAGAGCACCTCTTCAGCTGTAGTACAGCATAGTGCTTAAAATCCTAGACTTTCAAGCTGACTGGATTCATAGCCCAGCTTCTTCATTTATTATCTGAGTGATTCTGGGCAAGTCACTTGACCTCTCTATGCTCAGTTTCCCCATCTGTGAAATGGGACAACAATAATACTATAGTGCCCACATAGAGTGGCTGTGGGGCTTAAATGGAATAAGAAGAGTGTCTGGCACAGAGTATCTGCTTAATTATTGTCTGTTGAATAAATTGACTCAAAGTCCAGAATTCTAGATAGCAAGTAGCTGAAATTAGGTCAACTGACACAAATTAATCTTCACCTTCCACCATAAAAATTCAATTTGGAAACACACCCCTTGCTTTGGTAAGTTTGCTTGATCACAGCAACGTAGTAAGATAAAATAGTTGCCAAAGTTGTTTTTCAGGAAATGGTTTGAGACTAAACTGAAAGCCCTAAACCTAGTAATCAGGAGGGTATCCTGATAAACTGCCTATATGTGTGTTCCTCACGGGGACTCACAGCTCTGGGAGAGAGACCACCATTGTTTTGTCTAATTAATAGAGGAAGGAGATAAGACATGAAAAGGTTGCCTTTTGAAGATATTCAATATTATTTGTGTTCCAGGAAAACCACCTGGGAGTAGTCATTGTTATCCCTGTTATACAACAGAAGAAACCGGGCTCAGAGAGGTTACCCAAGGTCATACAGCCGGTGAGTTGGCAGGGCCAGATTCAAACCCAGATCTCCCTGATTCCTGAGGTCACACTGACCCTCCCCGCAAGGTGAAGTTCCCAGGTGAGGCTGCCTTGAGCAGAGAACAGGGCTGCCTCAGACTTCTTGTGAAAACACACGGAGACAGACAGCACTCTACCCATGGAGTTTTGACTCATGCTCACCCTCAAGACTGAGGGACTGGTTTTCTCCTGGCTGAGAAGGGTCTCTGGGTTTACAGAAATGTACTCAAGATCTTAGAGAAAAATGGAGACCCAACTTACAAGAGAAGGAAGCAGACACTGCCACAGATCCACCACCTCTTGTGCAAAATGATCTCAGATGCCCTTCACCTTGGCTGGGGGACATGCCCCATCCCCCATCCCGTCGCTCACAAACACTAAAGGCAGAGACGAAAGTGCCTGCCTTCACACAAGAGCCACTTGTGGTTTCCCTCCCCTCTCAGCACACCACTTGGGAGGGCCTTTCAGTTCTCATAACGCAAGTGACTTTGTTTTCTCTGCCACAAGTTATAAGGGGCAGAAGGAGGTGTCTACTTTGTTGCCAGAGCCTGCCCTGGAATTAGCCTTGCACCATTCGGAAGACCCAGCCTTGCTGAGCGCTGAGCCTAGCAGTCCCTTGGCGAGGCAGCGATACTCCCTGGCTCCCCAGTCATGTCCTGGCAGCTGTCTGCAGTGGTGGTGCTCTTCGTGTCCCTGGCCGGTGAGTGACACACATGACTTTCCATGGTGACCCTGCCACATCCGGTCCTATTAAATGTAAATGCATTCTAGTGCCAGTGACCAAGGTGGGGCAGGACAGATTGGAGATAGCTGTAGTGGCTTCAGCTACTGTGGGTATTTGACTTGGGAATGCCTCTTTATTACCTTATGTGTGGAGCACACCTTCATTTTTTTTTCCAGAGGCTTTCACAGTTTGGACAGAGTAGCTGTCCACCCTGGAAGACAGTGACACTGCCCCTGGTTCCCAAATGGTCTGTAGGCACCTGATTAGGGAGAGTGTACAAATCTCTTCGATTTAAGAGATGGAGAACTGAGCCAGGGCTTAGAAATGGGGCTCTTGCCAAGAGCCTGGGGAAATCACGTCATGCCTTGCTTTTTCTGCTTTTCTTAAATGGAGCGCTATGTGTATATTATGTAACAGCGAGTTGTGAAGGTGAACGAGATGTGGTCTGACAAACTGCCGTCTCAGAAAGATGTAAGCCAGGGCATCAAAGATTTCTTGTTTCATTACCAGTATAGGTCAGATCAAAGAGACTGTCTGGGAAGCTGAGATTTTAATGATTCTTTTATGTCTGTGCCCCCTGCTTTCACCAAGAACATTTTCTCCCTAGGACGTTGAGTCCTCTTATGTGCTTTAACAAGTTTGCTGGTTGATTCACAATTCCTTCCACTACCACTGACTTGAACATGTGAGGGAACTAGCTCTGTCCACATGGCCTCACTAACACGCTCAAATGGGAGACACAGCTGCACTTGAGTGTAACACAAATTGTCATGAAAGTTGGGTGAAAGGTCAGGCCAGCGACCCTAATCCAGGCTGTTTTTCTTTGTGCCACACTTTCAGAATTAGAGTTTCACATTCTTTTGGAGGCAAAATGAAAAGTAATCATTATATTTAGCAGAGCAAGCCAATAAAAATGCAGAAGATCTCAATGTAGCAGTAACCCTCAGTGACCTGTCTGTGGGCGCCAATTCAATGGCTGGCAGACGACTGGTGGATTCAGGAGGGCAATGAACGTGAGATAAATGCACAGGCAGGTGGAAAGGAAATGCCCACGTTGCCCTTTCGTCTCTGAGCTGTGCATTCTTAGAGGTGAACGTGGGCGCTCAGCTAACAGATGGCAGCCCTGAGATTTGCACCCAGGAAGTTCACCTTCGGGGTCCATGCTCTGCACTTCTGCACTATACTTCTACATGCATATGTTCAAGAAATACTTGTTGAATTGCATGTGAGCAAAAACCATTCGACATTTTGCTTGGAGAGACAAAGCTTTTAGGTAAGCTAACTATGTAATCTTTATACAGTCACTTTGCTTCCCTGATCTCAAATTCGAACCCCATAAAATGAGGAGATTTAAGTTTGTATCAGTTAAGTTTAGGTCCAGCTGCACATAAGAGACAAGCGCCAAATAGTGAATTAAACAAGATAAGTGTTTGTTTCTGTCTCAAGTGAAAACAAGTCCAGAGGAATTCAGACCAGGTCTGTGTGGGGACTCATTCTTGTGGACCCACCATCCAATGTGTGACTTCCACCTGCAAGGTCTCCTCATGGTTCTAGATGTCTGCTGGAGCTCCAGCCATCACATACACATTGCAGCCTGATTAAAGGAGGAAACAGGAAGGCAATAGAGAGGCCCCCTAGGTGACTGAGCTCCCTTCAAGCAACCTTCCCAGAGGCCCACATAACCCTACCACTTGTATTGCTTTGACTTGAACTCAGTCACATTCCTACCCATCTGGAAAGGAGGCTTAGAGTTGGGGGGCTTTATTCCATGCAGCAAGTGCTCAGCTTAAACTCATGGCTCAGTTACTAAGGAAAAAGGAGAGACTGGATTTTGGCGTAGTCAGCCAGCAGTCTCTGACACAGGGCTAGAGCCCCTTCTGCTCAAGGGTTTTCTTTGAGCCTCAAGTCCCACAGAAAACTGACAGAGGCAGGATTTACATCTCTCTGCTAAAAGGCCTAAGATTAAACTGTGAAACTGTGAGCAGAACCTTGTCAAGGGCCCACCCCTGCTGCCCCACACATCCAGAAACCGTCTTCCTGCCGCATCCAGCTAGGGCTACCTCTGCTGCCCGGGGAGGTGCCAGAGAAAGTGCTCAGGAGTTAAGCTCGACTCCCTGCCCCTGGACATGGGCACAGCACTCCATCTACTCCCCAGCTGTGCTCCTTAGAGCTCTGCAAAAGGTAGCCTCTGAGACCTGCCAGGTCTGCTCCCTGCTGGCCCTCCTCCTGACCCCTCCTCACACCCTCCCAAGCTCCCATGATGCTGACTCTGCTGTTCTGCAGAGACATTCCAGGCTCTGAAGCCCCATGCCTTTACACATACTCTTTCTCCTGCCTGTGGGATGCCATCTACTTTCCTGTCTGCCTGAAGAATTTCTCCTTGTGATGGATTCCCCACCTCACCCCATAGGACTCAGGGCCTGCTTCAGTAATAACACCTGGGCTCCCCTGGTGGCGCAGTGGTTGAGAATCCACCTGCCAATGCAGGGGTTCCGGGTTCAAGCCCTGGTCCGGGAAGATCCCACATGCCGCGGAGCAAGTAAGCCCATGCACCACAACTACTGAGCCCGCAAACCACAACTACTGAGCCCACGTGCCACAACTACTGAAGCCCGTGCCTAGAGCCCGTGCTCCGCAACAAGAGAAACCACCGCAATGAGAAGCCCATGCACCGCAACAAAGAGTGGCCCCCGCTCGCCGCAACTAGAGAAAACCTGCACACAGTAACAAAGACCCAATGCAGCCAAAAATAAATAAACAAATAAATTTATTAAAATAATAATAATAACACTTGTCACACCGAGGAGTATAGTCCATTTCTGTGTCTGCCTCACAAGGCTTTGCCCCCCTGAGAACAAAGACCTAACCCCAGTGCCTGGCCTGGAGCTTGGCTCAGAGGAGGCGCCTCTGTATCTGCTGAATTGGGTGTGGTGGGGAAACCAAACTAAGGCTCTCTGGGAAGGCCCGACTGTCTGGGAAATACCTAAAGAAGCAGTCCTTGTGTGGTCACTGGCTTTGCCAGGGCCTGGCCGATGGGTTATCTCTCACTCCTCCTGCGAGTTGTAGGGAAACCAAAACCTTCTCACGCCCCTTCCTGCAGTTCACCATCTAGAGGAATACAAACAAGGGGTTAAGGCTCTGGGGTACTCATTTGCTGAGTCTCTTGAATCCTGGAGAAGAGACGCTGAGGTTCTGGGAGTGGGAGCTTCGCAAATCAGTGTGTGGACTTCAGACTGTGTTCTTCTGAGTAGAAGGAGAACTGAGAGAGTCTGAGCTGTGCCCTGCCCTTGCTTCTGCCCACTGCCCACTTTGTGGTTTTCAGACAGACCAGTGAACTTGACTAAACCTCTAGGCCAAAGATCCCATTGAAAAACTATGACCCAATTTTGATCAAGATTGGTCATATATGTGTGGTCATAAACATAGATTTTGTAAAACAGAGTATTTTTCAGAGCATTATTTCCATTGAGTACCTAACAAACATATGGACTTTCTGGGATGTATTTCAATGCACAGCATAGCTACCTCTGTCAAATTTCCATCTAACTGCCTGCCCATCTTTTATACCCCACACTCCTGCAGGGAGATGAGGAGAGGAGGGGAGGGACCAGAGTAGAGAAAGAGAAGAATATTAGAACAATATTTCCCAGACTTGTTTAATTGTAACACACTCTGTCACTTTTGTTCCTGCCACCTACCAGCCCAGGCTCCTGTCCGCCTCAAGGTCACATACCATATGGAGACACCATCACCTCCAGGCACCTCACAAAGACTTCCTATATACCAAGCACACTTGACAGTGTACCGTGAGTCTTCTTGTCCTGTTTGGGGTGCTGTGCGTTCATGAACGGCCAATGTGCTTTTTTCCCTTACTTGAGTTCATTCATCACTGCTGAGAGAGGAGTTCTAATTGCATTATGAGGAAGGCTCCCCCTTTGAAAGGGTGTGCTACTCAGTTGAGGAAATTCTACTCAGTTGAGAAGATTTGCTTTAGTTCATAAGCATAAGCTGTACACAGTGGGATTTTATCAAGGACCTAATCTTCCAGGAGAGCAAAAGTCAGGTGGTTCCCAGTCTCCTGGAGTTCTCTGCAGCAATCTTTGCTTTTTACTACAAGATATTCCTAGATACCACATCTGGGAGTGAATTCTATTTCTTCATAGTAATACTATGACCCTAACTGTGTTCCTGTTGGGTTTTTGACCCAGGGAACAGCAACTCAGGTTCAGCCCAAATGAATTATGCAAATAAATCTTCAACAACTGTCAACCTTCATAACAATCTTGAAAGGAAAAATCTTGCTCCAAGCTCTACAGTATGGGCATAAAGGCTCCACGTATGATTTTACAAAGATTGGTGAAGTAAATCTATAGCCCATAAAATCTGCAACTCTCAAATATCATACATTTCAATTGTCCAAGTAAACATTTTAGATACAAGAAAAGACTCTTTAGTAATAGTCTCAAGTAACTTAATGTCATTAATAATGTCTTCTTTAAAGGTTATCAAAGGCATTTTGAACTGATACTTTTGTCTTTCCCATTTTGCAAACCAGCTGTGCAGAAATAATTTATAAGTGCTACTACTGGGCTTAAAGTTAGCCTTTTCTTCTGGAAAATAATCACTGTTTTAGCATGTGGGCCTTTGAAAGACTCTCTGAGGACCACCATTATGATGGTTTAGTGAACTGGGGTCACTGGAGGGGCACCCTACTCTTCTCTCCTCTGCTTTTGTCTCTTCTCTTACCATTCTTCCCAGTGACACGCACCACCTCCACCCATGCCCAGATCCAAGGGCAGGCTTTGGTTCAGACAGGGACTTGAGTCTCAGCTTCAAAATTTACTAGTTGTGTGATTATGGTCAAGTTAATAGAATTTTCTAAACCTGAGTTTCCTCATCTGAAAGACAGATAAAGATTAGTACCCGTCAGGGGGTTTTTGAGAAGAGCTGGTGAAATAAGACCCTCGACCTGAGGCCTGCCATGTAGTAAGTGTTCAGTAACTTGGAATTTTTATTGCTATGGGGAAAGTACCCACCTAGAAATGTATTGGATGAAAGGGAGAGATAGTAAAGGTGTTTATGGATGACTTTAATTCGATGTGAAATTCAGGACTTTATAAACACCAGCGTAGAGTGATCTTCTTTCCCTTTTCCCCGTGTTTTTCCAAGTCACTGCTCAGCACCGGGCAGTAACAGCTCCAATGAGTGAAAATACAATGCATAAACATAGTGAAACCATAGCATTAAAGAGACAGTGCCATCTCTCAGTGTACCTGATCGTAAGCTCCCAAGGGACATCACCTGCAGTTGTCTAATTTCTGGCTTGCTCTGTGCTTGGAAGGAGACAAGGATAGAACTATTCTGGTTGAAAAAGATTCAGAGGCCTTCGGCCCTGAAGGGATGACCCAGGAGAGAACCTATGACGATAATACACACTCTAGGTATGCTTAATAGTCCAGGAAGGCTTTCACTCAAACCACCTTGTTTGAGCCTGTTAATAACCCTAGGAGGTCTACAATGCTGTAACCACCATTTACACATTCAGTTATTTATTCATTCATTCCATATCCACTGAATACCTTCTATGCACAGGCACTGGTGGTGAAAAAAATTACCCACAGTTCCCACCTTGAGCTTGCTTTTCATCTAGTGGGAGAGAGGCACAATTAATAAATAAACATATAATCAGGGCTGATATTCTGCTGGTACACACTGTCTGGACAGGCTTATTGTTAAATATTTGAATACCGTCCCCTTATATAATTACAAGCTGTGATTAATGCAGTGAAGGCAATGAATATAATACTGTGATGGAGAATTGTGGGGATGGGGAGCTGTTTCATGTGGGAAGGATGGGAAAGACTCTTTGAGGAGCTGACATTTAAGCCAAACCATGAAGGATGGCACACCAGATATATCAGAGCACTTATGGATTAATTTAATTCCTCAGTTGGAAAAGCCTGCGCTACTCTAAAGGTTAAGTAAGGGAATGACAGAAACTGGGGTACATTTTGAAAACTGATGGTGGGGCTTCCCTGGTGGTTCAGTGGTTAAGAATCCACTTGCCAGTGCAGGGGACACGGGTTCGAGCCCTGGTCCAGGAAGATCCCACATGCCACAGAGCAACTAAGCCTATGCGCCACAACTACTGAGCCTGCGCTCTAGAGCCCGTGAGCCACAAGTACTGAGCCCATACACCACAACTGCTGAAGCCCAAGCGCCTAGAGCCCGTGCCCCACAACAAGAGAAGCCACCACAATGAGAAGCCCACGCACCGCAAGGAAGAGTAGCCCCCGCTTGCCGCAACTAGAGAAAGCCCGCACACAGCAACGAAGACCCAACGCAGCCATAAATAAATAAATGTATTAAAAGAAAAGAAAAGAAAAGAAAACTGATGGTGAAATAAAAAATGGAAGGGAACTGAATCTCTTGTCATTGGAGGTAATTATGCATAGATTGGCGGAACACATGGCAAATATCCAACAGTACAATTCACACATCAGATTAGGGTTTGTACTAGATAATCTTTAAGGTCCCTTTCAAACCTGGGATTATATGATTCTCTGAAAACTATACAAGTCTGTGTAAATCTTTATTACTGTTATTCATGCTGCCCCAGCTCTATCAGGTCATCACAGCAGCACCCTACCCAGGAGCACACTCTATCCAGGAACTGTCTGGATTCACATTTGAAGATGGAAAATGAAGAGGCATTGGCACTTAGATATCTAGCTGAGCATGCTCGCTGGGGTGATAGTACCACACCCCACACAGAGAAATGGGAAGAATATCTCCAGTATGCTCACAACCCTGTAAAAATATGGGTGCAACCAAAACGTTAAAATTGTGGCCTTGTGGTAGAATTTTGAGTGACCTTCACTTCACTGTTATTTCCTTGTAAATTTCCCCCAAATCTGAAAAACACATGTTAATTTTTAATGAAGAAACCTTAAAGTGGAGTGGGGGAGGGCTTCACTCATGTGAGCCATTGGTTGGTGTATTAACATTTTTGTTTCCTAATTTGCAGTGATTTTGCATTATGGCGGTCATGTGAGAGCAAAAGCGTTTCCAGAAATCACAGGCTATTCTCCACCTGCAACAGTACAGACCACAGCAAAACCTTGTCTCCTGCAGCCAACGAACCGTGTGCCTCAGAAAACTTTAGCAGCAAGGTCAACAGATGGGCATGTCACCTCTCAGATAGCTGTCACAGCATCCACCTCTGAGACCCTAACCACACACACAACCATAAAAATTCCAGCAACAGCTTCCCTGGTAACTGCAGACAGCACCCCCTCCACCAGCCCGACAGCCCACACCCTAGTCACAACCCTGGCCACACCCAACAAGTCACACACGGCTGCTCCAGTCACTGAGGCTACAATCAGCCCCAGCACAGGTCCCAGTCCACCACCATCCACTGTCACCCCGCCAGCGCACAGAACTGGAGCCAGGCCGTCGACCGTCAGCCACACAACTGGGAAAACCACCCAACTCAGTAACCAGACCACCCTTCCAGCAACATTGTCCACCACACCACACAACAGCACAACCAGTCAGAAGCCTACTCAACCCACCCACACCCCAGAGCCCACCAACGCAACCCACAGAGCCTCGCCTGCCACCATAGCTCCCAGGCCCACCCTCGCACCCCAGCCATCGTCAGCCAAGACTGGAATTTATCAAGTTCTGAACGGAAGCAAGCTCTGTATCAAAGCAGAGATGGGGATAGAGCTGACGGTTCAAGACACGGAGTCGGTAAGTCCGGCACAGGACTATAGCACTGCTTCAAAAAGCTTTGAGTGGGGAGTGCCTTGCTGAAAATGAACATTCCCCTGCATCCTATATCTTGGAATGAAATAGGTATCTGCGGGCTCCTCTTTCTCCAAGGTGCTCTGTTACGAGGTGGATCTGTTTTAGAACACATACAAAAATAGACACTGATAGCGACCGTATGAATGAAGAAAGGCACACACCAAAATTTTAAATATGCACACCCTCCACTTTTAGCCACCATAGGCGGAGTGTTGGATGTGGCCAGCATTGACCCCAACCTGGCCCTGCTCCTCTGGATGACTTCCAAGCCTCAGCAACTTTCCTGTGAAATGAGAGGTTTGCATTAGACGGTCTTTGTGGTTCCAGCCAGCTGTGACATTAATATGAAAAATCCAGGTGAATGAGAAGATTGGAGAGGGTGGGAGTGGGGCTTAGATTATTTGATTTACTGAAAGAATCACTATAAAAATTCTTCCTTTTTTTGCAGTTTTTACGATGTCAAGTAAAACTTCCACATTTGGTTTTTATTTGAAACAGAAGTACATTAGATAGCAAAACCTTTCCTGTAGCGCCCAACATGTTTGCTTGAACAAAAATTAAATTCTACACGGTTTTTCAAGAATATACCTGCCATGAATTATCTATCAAGGAACTCCTCTCTGTGAGAGCACTCCTTCTTTAAAAAAAGTCTTTTAAACATAACAGTTTGGAAATGAGAGGTGTCTTCCAGGGACTTTGAAATTCTCCAGTGAACACCCACTAGCCTGGAGTTTCAGGCTCAATTACCAGCCTGTGCTTCTGGTCTCCCAGCTAGAGTTTTCTTTGACATTCCATTGAGCCAATCTATTTTATTTGGTTTAGGTTTTTTCGCCTCAGAAATACTTCAACATCGACCCCAATGCAACCCAATCCTCTGGGAACTGTGGCTTCCGAAAATCCAACCTTCTCTTGAATTTCCAGGGCGGATTTGTGAATCTGACATTTACCAAGGTGAGGCTGAACTCCTTACACTAACCTGCTCTAGCATCGCTTTCCCTGTCCCTCACCCTGGGGCCCGGTGGTGCAATCCCACACTTTAAGTTCCAGGGGAAACAGACCTCAGAGCCTTTCGAGATTTCTCTGATAAGAATGAGGGTCATGGAGACGGAGAGGAGGCAAGTGTCGACATCTTCCATTTGCTTTCTTCCCTCTTCAGCCTCCTCTGTGCGGCCCAAGAAGGGCTTTGATGCCTCTTGAAAGAGATGTGGCCTTGGGGAACCTGGCCGAAGTGCCATTTGCAAACCACCCCAAGGAGGAAGCTGTACCGATGAACAGACCCACAGAAATACCCAGTGGGCAAAAAGAAACAGGATTACTCTGAGACCAGAGTCAAATGTCACAATAGGTTCTTTCCAACCACAGAAGGCAAAATTCAGGGACTAACCGGGGGCTGCGTTTTCCAGGCCATATCCTGGAGTGGGGTAGACAACTGAGTAGAGTGGAAAAGCATGGTCATGAGATCAGAGTCTTGGCTACAAATTGGACTCTGTTCTCCTTTTGACATCAGGCAGGCAACTTAATCTGTTTGAGGTTTGTTTATTTGTTTGTTTATCATTTGAAAAATGGGGAAAAGAATGAAAGATCACTCCCGTAAAGAGCTTTGTTCAGTACATGGAACGTGGATGCTCAATAGTCACTGTGGCTGTGATTACAGTGACTGAAAAGGACAAATGTCTTGGGAACACAGTGATGGTCAACCCCCTCTCAAAGGAGGCTTGCCCCTCCTTGGTCCAAAGTGTCTTTCAAATAAGCCAAGAGGACCCTTGCAGCTGGGACTCGATGTGGGCCTTCTTCTTACCTGTCTAACGTGACCTCTGAAGTTAGAGGGTCTTGGTTAGCAGATCTTGGAGAGCAATGAGCACAGACTTTGGGATCAGAAATCAAGATTGACTCACAGCCATAATACTTACTAGCTGCGTGACCTTGGACTAGTTGGGGCATGTTTCCTCATCTACAAAAAGGAACTAGTTATAGCTACTTAGTGGGACCCTTGGGAGAATTAGAAATGGTATATGTAAACCGACTAGCACAGTGCGTGATACATGCAACGGCCTTTATTGCATGGAGTTATTATTATTGTTAATGTTATTGACTTGGTCTCATAAGCCTTTTTTTTTTTTTTAACTGGAGTATAATTGCTTTACAATGTTGTGTTAGTTTCTGCTGTACAGTGAAGTGAATCAACTATATGTATACCTATATCCCCTCCCTCTTGGACCTCCCTCCCACCCCACACCCCCATCCCATCCCATCTAGGTCGTCACAGAACACTGAACTGAGCTTCCTGGTCTCGTAGCCTTTGTCCTTCTCATGATACTTTTCTCCTTAAGGTAGAAATGCCCCTGAGAAGTTGGTGGTTTCCTTTCAGTACCAAATGGAAACAAGCATAGTCCTTCACCAGAAGAACACTCAGGGCAGAATAAACGCTCTGTTCCTGCACAACTGAAGTTAATCTAAAAAGGTGTCAAGGATTTTTTGAAAGTCACTTTGGCAAAATGGCAGAGGATAGGCATAAGAATTTATGCTTTAGTCTAGGGCTTGATCCCACCCAACCCACTGCCCCTGTGAATAATTGCCTACAGAAAGGCGTCAGGAACCTCCAGTGTCTGTGTGGGGCACACAGTGGCCACTGCTGCCCGGCCGCAGGCAGAACAAGTGTCTTGGCACCTTTCGATGTCTTTCTTTGCTCCTTTCCTCTGTCTCCTGGAACGATGCCTTCAGGCTGGGCTCTGTTTGACCAAGCTCCACCCAAGTGCCGAATCCCAGCCGTTCTGGAAATCCTCTGTGCCTCCAGAAGGTGGACAGGAAATGAGTGTCCAGTAGAGCTGGAAGGACCAGCAGGGCTCCCTGCCCCCGACACCTTCGGGAAGGAGCAAGGTGAGCCGCTCTCAGTCCACGGCCCCAGGTGTTGCAACAGCTGCTTTGCCTGAGTCTCACAACGAAACTCACCTTATTCATTCCACTGCCAGCACCGAAACCCGGAGCAGGCACCCTTAGCTATGCCCCAAGAGAAAGCAAAAAGGCTCATAGAAAGTAAAAGTTCCCCCCAGCCTTAGCCCTTCTGGGGAATTTATGCATTTTAAAAGAGAAGTTGTTTAAGCCAGAGCAGTGGCCACAAATCCAAAGATTACAGGGGCTAAGCATAGAACTTAAGGAGTGAAGTAGTGAAAAAGTAAAAATGTCTTTTTCCTTGAAACGGGCAGCTCTTATTTTTTATTTTGACACCTTTGAGGAAGACTTTATTTCCCCATTAAATCTGCATAAGAAAAATGTTAGAGTAAGTGTGAGGTGACAAGCGGCAGCCCCAGTAGTGACGGGACAAGAGGGAGGGGTTGGGAGTACCCGTCTCCCTACCAGCCACTCCTCAGCTCCAGCTGGCGGGGTTGGTGGTGGGGCTGGCATCTAGCCCTGGGGACTGTCACTGTCCTTTATGGTAGGTGTTCATTCTGGACGGTGGGGTGTCCTGCATGGCCACTGCCCTACTGTGCCCGTTAAATATTTACACATCACCTCTATCAGGTAGTAATAAGAGACCAGTGTTTGTCAACCCTTCTTGTTCAAGAGAAGGTAGAAATCCCAATCTTTTTCTGAAAGCACATGACTTTTTAGTGTTGGCAACACATCTTTTAGACATTTGAACACTCCATTGGTCAAACAAAACGAAACACAGCTGTAGGCCCGCTTTGGCCTGTGGATCCCGGCACTGTGCCTTCTGCCCTAATGGGGGAACTATGTGAAATGCATTTAGGCAGGAAAGATGTCTAGAACCTTCCACAAGAGAAGTGGGCTCAACAATTCAGTCAACCACTTTTCCCATGTTGCTACCTTCTACACCAGTGCTTCTCAACAGCAACAGTATTAACACTTGGGTTTAAACAGATAAGTCTTTGCGGCAGGGCCTGTCCTGAGCCTTATGGGTTGTTGAGCAGCATCCCTGGCTCCTGCCTACTAGATGCCAGTAGCAACACCCAACCTCAGCTGTGACAACCCAAAATGTCTCCAGACGTTGCTACATGTCCCCTGAGGGGCAAAATCACCCTCGGTTGAGAACCAGTGCTCTAGAGAAAAAAGAGAGCCTTAGAAAATAGGAATGCATGTTATAACATAATAGATGTTATAAAGACAACCAAGTTGTAGAATGATAACTGGATGCTGATTAGCAAGACTGATTTGTCAGCCAATTTACCAATAAGAATTAACTGAGCACCTACTTTGTCACCAACACTGAGCTAGACATAACAGGAGAAATAAAAGAAATATAGGCTATAGTTTTAGGTTTCAAATCATGTACAATAATTTGTCATTTTTAATATTGAAATACTGCCAATGGCAGAAACGTAAAGAAAAACTTGCCTCCTAAACTGTCACTTGATGTTGTTGTCAGTCAAGACTTCACTTATCCATATTATTACTGTGTGACCATGGACAAGTCACTAGCTCTCTCTCTGAGCCTTAGTTTCCTCCACTCTAAGATGGGACCAACTAGGACCTATTTTGTTGGGCCACTGTGAGGGTGAACTGGGCTGGTGTATGTGAAAGTGCTGAGCACGGCGTCTGGAGAGGGGGGTTTCCTGTCTCGTTTCTCTCAGTTTCATTTTTTAAAGAACCAAAAACGTTTCCATGTCAATGTCTCATTTGATTAAGGTGACAGTGCTGAAAGCTGTTCAGACCCTTCAGAGGCAAGATAAATATATCTCCTTTCCCCCTGCTCCCCACAACTTCCTTGTTTTAAAGGATATTTTGTTTTAAAAACATCTTTCAGTAACTGTGTAGAGTTTATGTTTCTATTCTCAACACTATCCCTTTCTCATCCACCTGGTTGGAAGGGCAGTGCAAGCCTCCAGCGCCGGCTCTGGGACCTGGGAGAAATCAGTCACCAGGAGAGAGGAGCACCAGGGCAAGGCAGTGAGTTGGAGTCGATGAGGTCTGGAAGTTGAATAGTGCCCACCCACCTGGTGTTTCTCCAGAGCCTTTCAGGGGCATTCGGAGCCCTCTTAGCTTATAGACTCCTGAGGACTGTTATCAGTGTTCAAATGTTAACACACTCAGAGTGCGCTGTTTAGAACTTGCCAAGTGTGCGGCACCATTTCCTGCCCTGTTTTTCCTTGTGGGGTTCCCTCTGCCTGGAATGCCCCTCCTACCCCTCATTCATCCTTTGAGATGAATTATCAATTCATCTTCACTCTGTGAAGTCTCCCCACCCCAATCCCCACGTCCATCCCAGGTAAAACTGGGACACTTTCTTCTCTTGGTTTCCTGACCCTCCATATATTCCCTGACCTCCATAAATGCACTTACCACACATTTTGCCATCTTGAAGGCAAGTCTTGACTTATTCACGTTCCTCTCTCTAGTGCCCAGCCCTGACTTTATACATAGTATACCTTTAGCAAATGAATCCGTAAAGGAGTGAATCTAAATTTCACAGAGAACTCTGGGGCAAGTTGCCAAGAAGTAGACCAGCAGCTCTAAAGAAATAGCCTCTTTGGCCTCTTTTTGTGACATTGAGAGCTGAGGTTTCTTTTCTTTCTTTCTTTTTTAACTTTTTATTTTATATTGGAGTATAGTTGATTAACAATGTTGTGTTAGTTTCAGGTGTACAGCAAAGAGATTCAGTTATACATATACCTGTGTCTATTCTTTTTCAAATTCTTTTCCCATCTAGGTTGTTACATAACATTGAGCAGAATTCCCTGTGCTGTACAGTAGGTCCTTGTTTGTGATCCTTTTTTTTTTTTTTTTTTTTGCGGTATGCGGACCTCTCACTGCTGTGGCCTCTCCCGTTGCAGAGCACAGGCTCCGGACGTACAGGCTCAGCGGCCATGGCTCACGGGCCCAGCCGCTCCGCGGCATGTGGGATCTTCCCAGACCGGGGCACGAACCCGTGTCCCCTGCATCGGCAGGCGGACTCTCAACCACTGCGCCACCTGGGAAGTCCTGTGATCCATTTTTAATATAGTTGTGTGTGTATGTTAATCCCAATCTCCCTAACTATCCTTCCCACCCCCCAACACACTTAGAGTTCATTCTCTAAGTCTGTGAGTCTGTTTCCAGAGCAGAGGTTTCTTGATGAAGTCGACAACATTGAACAAAAAAAGGCCTGTTTGCTGTCCACATCCTGAACATCTGTGACTGTGAAACTCCCACAATACATTTTGCAGAAGTTGAGGAGAGGACCCTGGGCCTCACCGTCTTTGGCAAGCTGCATTTCTGGGCAGGCTTGACTGGCTGGCTTGCTCTGGACCCTGTCCTTTGCTAAGGAGAGTGTTTAAGTTCCTTGAATTAAGACCTTTTGAGGAGATATTGCAGAGTTCTCTTTAGACACTGGCGGTGAGGAGCCACGTTGTCAGCAGCCATTGGTTCAGTAGTGAGATGGTACTTCTGCAAATGGTCCCTTCACATGGACATGCTATAAGTGCTAAAGTACCATATTCAGCTCTTAGGAGTCCTTGGCCCCCTTTCGTCACTCTCCAACCTCAACCCCAAATGAGAAAAACATCTGGCAGAGAATAACCCCGTGGGTGTCAAAGGAGAACGCACTATAAATTGCAGAATATAAATTGCAGAATGTGTGGCATGTAATTTCCCTTGGGCTTTTGGTTAAATCTGACACCTGCTTGAAGTTCTCAACCTCCCCACCACTGCCTTCCTCTGTATCCACCCCATTCCCGTCCCTGAGAGGTAAAGTTTCAGCCTGGTTCTTTAATCCATAGGGCTAGCTAAGCTTAGCTCACTGGCTTGCTCTCTCTTTCTTTCTGTTTGTGGTGGATCTGAGCTCTAGGATATAGATTAAAAATTATCATTTGAGGGCTTCCCTGGTGGTGCAGTGGTTGAGAGTCTGCCTGCCGATGCAGGGAACACGGGTTCGTGCCCCGGTCCAGGAGGATCCCACATGCCGCGGAGCGGCTGGGCCCGTGAGCCATGGCTGCTGAGCCTGCGTGTCCGGAGCCTGTGCTCCACAACAGGAGAGGCCACAGCAGTGAGAGGCCCGCGTACCGCAAAAAAAAAAAAATTATCATTTGATCTCAGTGAGAGAGGTTTACTGGGAAGGGGAAATCTTTTTATTACTGTTGTTAACAACACTAGTTAAAATTTGAGCAAAGACTTTGTGATACGTTTTTTACATGATTCCTTCATTTAATACTCACATCAACCTAAGAGGTAAGTCCTGTTACTATTGTCCCCATTCTGCTACTGAATAAGAAAAAAAATTAAATTTTTGCAATGTTCACCAAGATTCAACAACTTAACCTAGGTTACATGGGAACAGAGACATATTTTTAAAATAGTGTTTAAAAATTCTTAGCAACACTTTATTCTCCCAAAGAGGAGGTTAACCACTCTCTTTATAACATTTCATAACCAACTGATTTGCTCAGCAACTTTGTTCTTTATGGATGGTGTAGCCCAGGAGTCAACAAGCTATGCCCCCCCAACCCCCGACCAAATCCAGCCACCACCAAAAAAATGTACAGTCTATAAGCTAAGAATGGCTTTTACATTTTTTAATGGTTGGGAAAAAAAAAAAAGAATATTCTGTGACACAGGAACTCATATAACTTCAAATTTCAGTGCCCATAAATGAAGTTCTTTGGGAATATGGTCGCACTTATTTGCATATGTGTCATCTGTGGCTGCTTTTGTGCTAGAATGGTGGAGTTGAGTGGTTGCTAGGGAGATCCACAAAGCCTAAAATATTTACCATATGGCCCTTTACAGCAAAAAACTTGCCAACCCCTCATATAGAATAAACTTCAGCTCTGTTACCATTCAAATGGGGCCAAATTCTGAATTTCTGAGTCTAAAAAAAGATGCTTTGCTCTAGTTTAAATAAGACAACTTTATTTTCTTTAACACAACTCCACAGAAAAAGTGAGTACCATGGTCTAAATAAGACTCATTTGATATCAGCAGCATACATTATGTAAAACTTGGAATCTCAAGGAAACTAAACATTCCACTGACCTCTTGTTTACAAAAGTTCATCTAACAAATGCTCTTCCTTTACCATGAAGATAGACAGCAGTTCAGTCCCAGTCAACGTCTGGCTAATTTTCACTCAGTCAAAACAGAAGGAAACCTGGATACAGGCTCCGGACTCAGTCCTGTTACATTATGACATAAACTTGCAGTGAGTATGATCACCGCCATCTGCTTTGGAAGACCTTACCTTGGGCATTAGCCCTATAATTATAGCACCAGTTCTGGTAGAGCAGGAACAGCCCTTCCTGTCAGGGCATACAGCTGGGAGGGCCCATGCTTGCTTTAATGCTTTACCTCCCCTCTTGGAATTCTTAATAATTTTTGATCTTGCATTTTTATTTTGAACTAGGTCCACAAACTATGTAGCTGGTCTTGCCTCCTATAGATGATTATATATAGGCAAATATATTCCAGGGAATGTAAAAGAAAGTTCTTGCACGACAAATTTTTTCTCTATAACCACACATCCCATGAAGGAAAGTGTAGAGCAAGATCCCATAGACAAGATCTTGCTTTGCCTCACCTACAAACAATGTGAATCAGAGGTAGAGGCCTACCTCCTCTGAGTTCTTTGTTCTCAGCTGTAAAAGGGGCTGAGAACATTTATTCTGCCTCAAGGGGGTTGTGAGGACCAAAGAAGGCAGAAAAATGCACTTAGTAAACTGTAAAACGATTAAAGAAATACAAAGTACCCATTCCTTACAGCGAGGATAGCTCTAGGAGATGCCACAGGAGAGGGAATACTTCAGGAGGTATCCCATGGAGCTCAGCACTGGCCCCATCACAGTTCTCCTGCTGCTCTTTAATCAATCTCTTGTTGCAGCCCAAGCAATTTCCAAAAACAAAGCCCTCATATCACTGCCCTGCTTAAAACCCTTCAATGGATTCCGTCTGCCCTTAGGATGGGGCAGGGATTTTATAAGTGACTGTGGGCCCTGACATACAGGTCTCTCTTATGCTAAAAGGGATCCCAAGTAAAGAATATTCTGGGAATTCCCTGGCAGTCCAGTGGTTAGGACTCTGCACTTTCACTTCTAAGGGCCTGGGTTACTGGTCGGGGAACTAAGATCCCACAAGCCACAAGGCGTGGCAAAAAAAAAAAAAAAAAAAGAATAACCCGAATAAACTGTATGTAAAAGCAACCCAAGGGCCTGGGTCACAGTTGTTTTTCTCTAAAACAAATGGATGGTCCAAGCACATCATCCAACTTGCCTTTGAGACCCAAGACTGAGCACCTTGAATGAAGCATCTGGGTCTTATTCTTCCCCCAGGACCTAGAGCAATGCCTGGTCTGGAGTGGATATAAGAGAAGTTAAAGGCTAGCCAGGTGGCTTGGGGTCATATCTTCACCTGCCAACTATTAGGACTGTGACCTTGGGCAAGTCACTGAGCGTCCATTTCTTCTCCTTCTGCTTGTGGGGATTAAATAAGATGAGGCACAGAGGTACCTGCCACACAAGGTAAGAAGTGCCTGGCACGAGGTGAGAAGCCAGTGTGTGGAGCTGCTTCAAGGAACTGTAGGATCTAGAGTTCAGTGCATCGATAGCAGTCGCCTCACTGGAACAGTTTGTATTTCTGGAACCCTTATTGTGTAAGCAAGCATCATTTCATCTGCAAACAGTATATAAATAGACTAGAATGTGGTCAAGATTATTATTGCTAAGTTCCTTTAATGACTACTAAAAGTAATTCAATTTCAGATTCTGATTTTGGTTGCTCTACTAACGTTTTTGGCAACTCACTTGCAGACAGTTTTCTAATGAATGTTTAAAAGCAATAACACCGTAAATCACCTACTTTAAAAAATAAAAACTCCTTTTCCAGCTTAACTTTCATATCTCAATCCAATTCATTTTAATGTTCCATACCCTGATTCTCTCAGGAAGTTATAGGGCTGTTTTGTAGGGTTTTTAGTGTTTTTTTTTTTTTTCAAAAGTACAGTCTCTGGATAAAATGTGGAGCACTGCTATATAATTCTGAACACAACAACCTGGGGTCTTCTTCTAGACAACAGCCAGTAATCTCAGGGTTAACCTTTTCTTTCCAGAATCCTTCATGGCCCCATGTAACCATTTTGGAGACATGAACCCATTAATCTATTTAAAGTAATTGATACCCTATCCAGGAAAATCCACACACAATTTTGCATACACTGTTTTTCCCAGGGAGGGTTATGGACCCCATCAAATCCACCCACGGTAGCCTTAAGGATGAGTGGTCTCAGCTTGAATCCTTACCCTAAGATATTAATTACTAATAAGGGCTTAATGTATGCCCCCCCCAACCCATCCACCTTCCAGATGTATTTGCAGCATTATAACAGGGGGAAACTTGGCCCAGCTGAAGGGACTCAAATAGTACCAGTGGAATTTGAATTTCAGGCTCTAGCAACAAGTATGCAATAGAGAAATTTTCAGCCAGGGGCAAGCCATTACTTATTATCTATTTATTGTATGATGTATTTACTTCTTTGGAAAATTTCAAACACAGTTGTGGCTCCATACCAACGAACCCAAACCCCTATATCAATGATTTAATAGCTGGAATCCTGCCTAAACAGTCTGTAAACTAGGATCATAAACATAAAAACAGAGATTACCCAAAAGTTGACACACTGCTGTTTTACAGGATGAAAACTCGTATTATATCAGTGAGGTGGAAGCCTATTTGACCGTCTCAAATCCAGGTAAGTAGTTGGAGAAGCCTGTTCTACCAGCGATGATGCTATGTTTCTGGTTAGCCCAGTTTTCACCTGGCTAATATGCGATGCTGCCTTTGAGAAACAGACTGAGAGAGCAGCCAGCAATGTAACTTTGAGGGAACTTATTATTGATACATCTCTGTGTGCTTCAGTCTGCTTGTCTGCTCATGCAGCAAGTTGGCTACATTGTGTCAAATCAGCAACAATAGAGTTGAGTGACTTTTGGACAGATTTGCCGTTAATGGTGAGGTTTATTTTACACTCTGGGAATCATGCATTCATTCTACGAAAGTGTAGCTAGTGCCTGCTAGGTTCCAAGCTCTATAGTATGTACTCGGTATCCCTAAGTATCTAAACATATAGTCCCTGCCCTCATGGAGCTTACATTATAGAAGTGGGGAGAGGACCGTAAACAGATGCATTAAATTATAATATACAGTTAAATAGTGCTGAATTCTATGAGCAAAAAAAGCAGGATGAGGATGGAGAGGACTGGAAGGTGTAGTAGGGAAGCCCTCTGAGGAGAAAGCCCTCTCTGAAGAGGTGAGATTTGAGCAGAGAGCTGTCCCCATTTGGGGACATCTGGGTCTGGGGAAGCTCTTTCCAGGCGGCAGGAACTGCAGGTGCCCAGGCTCTAAGGAGTGAGTTTGCTGGGGCACTCAAGGACCAGCAGGAACCAGAGTGTCCAAGAGAGCAAGTAAAGCAGCCAATGAGGTCTGAGGGGCAGCCAGACCAGAGCACAGAGAGCCTGTGGGTAAGACGGGGTGAGGACTTTGGATTTTATTCTAAAGTGTGAAAAGATGCCATTGGAGGGCTTGGCATAGGGAAATGATATATCAAATTTATATTTTATAAAGGTTCACTTTGGTTGCTATATGAAAAATTACCCAAAGTAGAGCAAGTTGAAAGAACTCCTACAACGTTCACTTCTAGGAAAGTAATGCTCCCAGTCAAGTTGAGGGAGTTTCTCAGAGGCCTCCAATGTTTCTCCCGAAAGCCTAGACTTCGATAACACACCGTTAGTGAGCACCTCCTCTGTGCCAGGTCGTGTACTAAGAGTTTTCATGTCTCTTTTCTCCTCTTCAAAATTCTTTGGACTGGCTTAAACTTATTCTTTAATTAATTAAGGAACTTATACTAAAGAAACTTGCCGAGAAATGAAAATGTGAAGATATATCTATTTTAAATATTAGCAATATTACATTGGTATTGCTCAAAAAGTTGTTGTCAATGATTATTGGTTAAATGTAAGTAAGATGTCACAGCTGACCTTTTCATATACATTATCTCAAACGAGTCTCCTCATATCAACTGGGGAATAAATATTGTGCATGCTAACATAAAGCAGCTAATGTTATCACTGGATAATGACCAAATTTTAGCTACTAATAGGGTAGTAACGTCTCAAGGGGCAGGAGAAGGGAAAGTCAGACCAGAAGCTAATTGAGAGGCTGAGGGAGGGGAAAAAACAACTCTAGGTCCGCATGCTCAAGGCTCAGGAGTGGCAGCAGGAACTGTCATACTCATAGTAATGATAATTTTCATGTCAATGGTGGCAGTGGTGGTGGTGTGAGTACAGTAGTTAGTTGTAGTTCAGAGGTAGTGACCATGGTGACATTAGCACGAGCAGTGGTAGTAGACTACCCCAGGATATAACACAAGATACAGCAGTGTACATGGATAATTCAGTACATCATGTAGGACGTTTGAATGTATAAATGCAGGAGTCTGCAGTGAATACAACAGTAACAGGCAGGAGACACAACAGCACAGTAGTTAAGGTAACAAGCTCTAGAATCAGACGGCTTGAGTCCAAATACCACTTACTAGATGTATGTTCTTAGACGAATGTTTTCAACTCCGTCTTCTCATCTGTAAAATGGTGACAGTAGTACCTATCTCAAAAAATTTTTGTGGGAATTAAACAGGAAAATGCACGTCAAGTACTTGCACAGCACCTGAAACACAGTGAGCTGACCCTCTGTGTGAGATGTTATGTCAGATGCAAGTGAACACACCCGCAGCAGCAGGAGAGGAGGGAACTTTCGGACTCCCTCACTAACAGCCCGTGGATGAATTCACTGAGGTCCATAGTCTGGTCCTCAGCCCCGGAAGCCGTCAGCGGCTGTTTCTTCAAGGAACCTGATGTTAAACCAAGGTCATAAAACTGATGTATAAAATCAGAATGCCAGTTTGTTCATTCATCTTGCTACTGTTTCTTATTATAACTGCAAGGGGACCAAGACAGTTGGGTACTCTGCCAATGAACTTTCTCCCATTCGGGAAACCAAACTATATTCAGAAGGGTGCCTGGTAGAGGTGGAATTAGAGCAAATGGAGTTATTAAATTTTTTTAACATCTTTATTGGAGTATAATTGCTTTACAATGGTGTAACTATTTTAAATGTTTAACCCCATGGGCCTTGAAGCACTCACCTCCTTGAAACGCGTGTGCCTCTCATGAGACAGGGCCAGTCCTTGAGCAGGTACTTCTCTCCCAGCAGCACTCAGATGGATGCAGATGGGCCTCTCCCTTCTCTATGCTTCCATGAATGATGCGACAACCCCTCCCAATGATGGGCTTGGTCCTTCCTTTTGCTATATGAATGCATTCAGTGTGGTGACATGCAAATACTCTGCTTGGTAACTTTGCATGTCTCTGCTCTGATGCATTATGAGAGCGTGTGATTTTTGTCTCAGAGAACAATCTTACTTCTTTTATTTCTGAAGTTTTCGTGGACACTTTTTTGTGCACAGGCACTGACAATAGCCCCCATTGACTCTGCCCCCAGTGACTTAAAATAACTGAATAAAAGATTCCGAAGAGTTTTTATTTCAATGTTATCATATTCTAATTTATGTGAGATTGCCCCCATATATGGTGAACAGAGCATCAGGAAAAAGTCCCCAGACAGCACCAGGGTGATGTTTCATGAGGCGAAGGTGTCAGAACTGTGGAGAACCACATCTAAGGAAGGCCATTTAACTGCACATGGGCCATCCAGCAACAGCTGGGGCTCAATGGATACTTGCCAGGGTTCTTACATGTCGGTATTTCACCTTTGTGTTTTCAGAGAAAGTTTACCAAGGAATGAAAAGTGCAATGGTGATGTTCGAGACTGTGGCGGGGCATTCCTTCAAGTGTGTGAGCGAACAGAGCATCCAGCTCTCCACCCACCTTCAGCTGAAAACAATGAATATCCAACTTCAAGCCTTTGATTTTGAAGGCAACCACTTTGGAAATGGTAAGTTAAGGGATCATCATGTCACAAACCTAAACTTCTGAGACCCAGGAGTAGTTTCAAGTTGTTTTCTGGTTGAAGCTTTCAAAGGGACAAGAATCACATGAACTTCCTAGAAGAGTATGATTCCGCTAAGCTCTCAGGGTCAAGTTTCTCCGGCCAACCCTCCCTCCCACCATTGTATGAGTCAATACCAGCCACAAAATCAGACACTTAAACCCACTCATGTCCACTGCCCTCCCACAGCAGAATACATTCTTCTTGTCTGGCCAAGATACACATTCTGACTCATTTAAACACACACACACACAGTCAATCAATCAAAGAGTGAGAAAACGCCATCAGTAACCTCCCCTGGACAAGCTGTTGAATACTGGTAAACCCAGGTGTCTTTGGAGAACACCTTAAAATCCTGAGTATTAGTGATATGTCTAAAAGTCAAGATTTCAGAATAGATTCTTTCCCACTTATGGAGGGAAAAGAGAAAGTTGTGATCATTCTAGACAGAAATACACTCTGTTGAATCCCCTCTTCTCAAATCCAAGCTGTTCTACCCAACTAGTGCTTCCTCATAATTAGTCTTAGTTTCCATGCAACTTCTACTTTGGGTTTTTCCCACCACAGAGGGAAGCAGGTTCTAACAAGAAGGCCAGGGGCAGCCCAGGGTGACTTTCCAAAAAAGCCCTTTTCTCCCCACCAGGAAAACAGTATTACAAGGGTTTCTACATTAGGGCAAGAATTGAACTTCAGTTTCTAAAACATCTCTCTCATAATAAGTCAATGACCTTATGAGTACTTCTCAGCTATCAAAAATAGATTTAGCTAGAGGTGTAGCTGTAAGTTAACTTTCTATAACATGAGTCTGATTTCTACTTCAATTCCACTGTAAAGCTGAAAATGTGTCTGGCAGAAAACTTCTGATATACCTGGTGGAAGGCATTCAGCAAAGGCAGTATGAAGTGTCACTTGCCTTGGATCTCCTGACATCTGTAGGTTTGGTCTGAGTCCTACAATCTCTATCTTAATTTTGGACCTTTACCAGAGTCCTAAGATTAAATATTAAAATTTGCTAGTAGGTATTTCCCCCACTCGGTCATCTTGTCTCAAAATATCCAATTTGAGAAACTCTTTTAAAAATTTATTATGAAGGCTTGAAAAACCTCTGTATTTAATCATGTGGTCTTAAAAATAAGGCACACACTTTCTCTTCCTCCCCCTCAGAACCTGTGTATAGAAGGAAGTAAGCAGGTCTGGGAAACCTCTCGGTGACAGAGATGAGAAATAAAAACCTTTTAGCAGCACACCTGGCCACTATTAAGCAGTGCTCACGAGGAGATGTAGAAAGCTATCTTTTCATTTTTTCCTCTCCCTCCTTCACCCTCTCATATACATAGTCACAAAACCCTATCAGTTCTACCTCCAAAATATTTCTCTTGTTCATTCCACTGTCCCCGCTTCAGCTCAGCTCCTTATTCCCAGTCTTTGCACCTCAAATTTCACTAAAGGTGCTCAGATGTGAAGTTGTATGTCATCCTGTAAATAATGTTTTCTACCAGAGAGTAAGAGAAGAGAGAAAAAGGAGCAAGTTGAAAAATAGAAGTTACCATACAATATGGCATTATAAAAGGCATAAGTACAAAAGGCCGTGGGAGCACAGAGGAAGGCATGAGGAGCACAGCGTTGCAGGAAGGGGGTCAGAGAAGTCCTGACAGATGGGTGACCCTTCAACAGGGGCTCGGAGAACCGGAGAGGAATCCAGCAAGTGTAACGCTCGGCCTTGTCAAAGAGAACGGTCATCCCAAACAGTAGGCCCCTGACCCCCTTTCTAAACCCCTTCTCTCTAAAATCTCGGAGCCTGCAAAGGCTCTCTCCAGTACCAGGAGCCCAGGGTGTCCAGCAGTCCCTTCAAGAAGCACAGAGTTTAAATAGAAAACTTTGGCCAGGTGATATGGTCCAGGTCTGTGTCTCCAACCTTGGGAAACCAGGCTCCCGTGCTTACCCTGGCTTGAGAGTCAAGACACAATTCTGATCCTGACCCTCTGGACCTAACCAGTGTTCCTCAAAGTTGGATCTGCCTCCCAGCCGTATCACAATCACCTGGGTCCCACCTCCGACCCGCTGAATCAAAACTGCTTGGGTGCGGGGCCCGGGGATCTGCAGTTAAGACACCCCTTAAGTGATCACGGGCACTACAAGTCAGTCCACTGCAGTGACCCCTTCCCTTCTCATCTTCACCTGTCCATATGTCTGAGGCAGCAGGGACAGGTCCCGCAGATCCATCTCTCTCTCAGTTGCCTTCTCTGTGAAGCTGAGGCGGGCAGGGGCAGTATCACTTCCCAGCATTGTGGCCAGCCTGTAACACCTGTTACTCTGACTTCAATTACAGCGGACGAATGCTTCAGTGACAGAAACAGGAGAGAAATCCCTGTGGCCATGGGCCTGAGTATCGCAGGATTGCTTGGCGTTTTGCTAACAGCATGCCTGGTGACCAGAAAGAGGCCCAGGAGAGGATACGAACGCATGTAAAACCCCACCTTCCTCAAAGTGTGCAAGGTTAAGGCCTTGGGAATGCTGGCTGTATATTTAGCCTGAAGCGAAGGGATCAACTTTTCTAGTTGCCAACCCCACCCTCCAAATCCGATTAGGAAATTAGCATTCTACCAAAGGCCATCAGGCTAGCTACAAGACAGCTCCCACCCCACTTCTTCCTGGGTCATATGGGCTTGAGTTCCACCAGCCACACGTGATAATACAGGCCTGGCGTGAGAATTAGGGACAAGAGGCAGGGATGGGAGCAGGATCCTGTGAGAAGGAAAAAGCAAACACCCAGAGGGAAGATTGTGTGAAAGACATTTTCAAACTGCATTGATTTTTCGTATACATTTTTAAGAGTCTCAATATCTAGTTTTTTAAAAAAACTTTTTTACTTTTAAAATCCTATCCATTTTAAAATAAATTCTAAAGTGATTTTAAACTCCTGGATTTTGCCCAACTCCTGATTTACTTAAATGATAGTCTTGATAGACTATCTTTTTTTTTTTTTAGGTTGACTGAAGGTCTTTTTATTTTTTTTAATAAATTTATTTATTTTATTTTTGGCTGCATTGGGTCTGTTGCTGCATGTGGGCTTTCTCTAGTGGCGACGAGCAGGGGCTACTCTTCCTTGCAGTGCACAGGCTTCTCATTGCGGTGGCTTCTCTTGTTGTGGAGCACGGGCTCTAGGTGTGCGGGCTCAGTAGTTGTGGGATGCGGACTCTAGAGCGCAGGCTCAGTAGTTGTGGCTGGCGGGTTGTAGAGTGCAGACTCAGTAGTTGTGGCACACAGGCCCAGCTGTTCCGCAGCATGTGGGATCTTCCCGGACCAGGGCTCAACCCCACGTCCCCTGCAATGGCAGGGGGGCTCTCAACCACTGCGCCATCAGGGAAGCCCTGGAGGTCTTTTTAGACTATCGTTTTTAAAAGGACGTATTCTACACTGTTATAATGTATTATTAGTAAAAAAAAAAAAAAAAAAAAACAACTAGAAAACTTCCCAACATTCCATTTTTTAATGTAAAGGATATACGAAAGATCTTAGCAAACAAAAGAGGCTTCATACAAGTTAGTTCTCCAGTCCTTCACCTTAATTTGTTGTCTGCCTTCTTAATACCTTTTTTCTGCTCCGTCTCTATTTTTCTTTGATTTTAGTATATCCTTGTAGATTTGTTAAGTTGGGCCATCATCGGGGGCGGAGGTAGGCAAAGCATCTAAACAGTCATAAATGGCAAAGAGAAGAGGTAAATCTACCCAGATTATTATCCACTTTCCTTTTTTAGCAAACATTTACCAAAAACACAAAAAACAAAAAAAACCGTAAACCAGAAAATTCCTGATTGGGAGTGATTGGTGTCTGGAGGAAAAGTTCTATTAAAATATGGTTTAGAATGTTATTCATGGTTTTCTACTACGTTGACTGTTTAAATAGCAGAACTGGGGTTGGTCTTTCAGAGAAAGGGGAGAGTAATGGACCTCTGGATGTTTTTAACTGTTTTTACTAACAGACACTGTTCTTGTGTTTCTGTATTTTCCAGAGGTGTTATTCATTATTTTTAAGAGGAAGTTTATGAAAGTTGGCAACCACTCTATAACCACTGCTTATCTAGGAAGTGTACTGCTTTCCTTTGAGGTATTTTAGCTCTCTCCACTTTCTCAGAAGTGAGGGGGTGGGGAGAGCACACAGCAGCTTCCAGAGAGCTTCAAGAGCCCTTGAAGATGGCAGGAGGGTGAGGACGTTCCTGTTCCTCCTTACCCCAGGAGGTGTTGATGCAAATCTGGGATATGAGGACCCAGTGTTCCCAAAAGTGACTCGGGTTGAGCAGCAAGGGCGTGGCCTTGGAGAGATGCCATCTGTCTTCACCTCCTTCCTCCAGTGGGTGTCAGCCAGTACCCACACTAGACTCCCATTTCCAGTTCCACCTCAAGTGTGCTTGTTAGGTTCTCTACCACAGAGCACGGGTTGTTTATTCACCGTGCCACTAACCACCCTGTAGAATGACTAAAGGGAGGTCCTAGTTTAGAAATTTCTCCCACAGCAGAGGAAAACGAAGTCGAATTAAAATCAAGAAGAGAGGGGTAAGGCAGTTCGCTTGAGTTTGATTTTCCTTTCTACCGTCTTCAATGAGTTCTGTGGAGTGACGGCTGCTGCCTAGACTCCTGTGATCTACCCCTCCCCACACACGCCAATTATCTTTAAAATTGCTTTGAATTAACATTCTAGTAACCGAAAAGAACACAGGTTTCCTTGGAATGATTAGTAAATAAATGCCTGGATGCATTATTGCCTTACAGTTCTGCCCACTGTTGCAGTGATGTCCCAGGAGGGTCCTAGAGGGGAAAGTGCTGGGATTGGGACTGTGGTAGACTGGGCATCTGGAAGTGGCCTCCTCCGTGTCCTGGGGTTCCCTCCCCCGCCCCCCGCCAGCCCCGCGCCGTGCTGCCTCCAAGTCGTCTCTTAGGGCTGAAAGG